CGAGCTGCTGGGACAAGCATTGTTGTCATGGAAAGAGAAGACCTAACCCCTTGTAAATGTGCAATATGCATGCACATGAGCACCTGAAGCGTGTTCATCTTTCATCATGTCATTGGCTTGGGAGGACCACACGGACCATTTGGGAACGACATTTCAGTCCATTAAATGCCACATGCTACTACATTGTGCATGCACAAAATATGTGCTTGCTTTTGTTCTTGGGAGAGCAAACCAACACACACTCGTACATGATCATGCCCGCGGATGCGACTGAGCACGTCTCCAAGCATGGAAGTATGTACCTAGTTGCAGAAACATGTACACTTGCGCGTACCTATGTGTACTGGTTCGCACTCCGTGGTGGTGTATACTTCTTGGCCATACTGTATGCTAATGAGAATTGGGAATGCGACTGTTTCATCGCATGTTCATGTTCAGGCATGAACTGAAGAGTTCCTGCTCGCTGCTACTACGACGACGACTAATTACCGCTCGTCCTCCTCCTCCTTAGTGGTGGTAGTGGTCATCGTAGTAGTAGTAGTCGTCGTAGCAGTAGTAGCACTAGTAGTACTAGTACAAGATAGTACTAGTACCTCCACTACTACGACGACGACGACTACTACTACTACTACTACTACTGAGGGTAATACTCATCATTAGAATCATTGTACTACTAAGTTACTACTGTCAAATACTTAGAACAGTTCTACTGCTGCTGCTATTGTCGCCGCCACATTTCTACTGCCAGTGCTGTTGCTGTTGCCCCCTCCAATTATTGCTACTGTTGTTGCTTCTGCTGCTGCTACTGCTACTAGCAGCTGGTACGATTGAAAAGTTCTGCCACGACCCAGCGTATTTGCTGTCAGTGCGGCCACCAGTGTTTTTGTAGACAGTGTCTGTGTCGATCAGGTGCGGCACGCCTGCGTGGGAGTGCGAAAGCCATTGACGTCTGGCGTTTAGAGACAAAGGTCGAAGCACCCTGGCCGACACAGGCTTTCTTATTGCCGGTGCTACCACTACAGGCACTTTCTCATTCGTCCTCATCTCTTCCACCTTCACCGATAGCTACATTATGATCCGCATCATGGTCAGGCGAGCGAGTTGTGGGTGGTAGAGTATGCTGCTGACATACTTTGGTGTCACGGCAAACCAAGCAAGCAGTCGAAGATGCAATGCTATAAGAGTGCATTTGCTTGCACGACTATACCATGGCCATGTAAGCTCTCAGAGCTCGTGTCACGCCCCATCCCATCGGAAGCTCGTCTACCACCTTTGCTCGATGCGAAATGTGGCTCTCCGGCGGTACTCCTGTGCGTCGTCTCAAGGTGTCCTTGACTTATTCTAGGGCCTGAGCAATTAGAATAGGGTTTTGGGGCCCGTTATACTAGATGATAGTAAGGAACCCTCCAAAATAGCATTGGTAATTACTACAAGGCCCCTATAGTACTCCTGCATGTCTCAGATCTTTCGGGACTTGCAGCCTCATTGATCTGAGCCTTGAGACCGCGCACAGGTCTTGATGGGAGAGCTGCTTCGGCTCCTGCATCCTGAGCAGGTGCGGCTTGGGGTCTTCAAGGCTTCAGGCTTCGTTTCGGATGTCTTTTGAGATATGGCTTGGAGGCTCCAATCTTCCCAGGGTTGAAGATGGGTTTCGATCTTGTGAGGCTCTAATGCGATGAAGAACCGGGGAGGACGAAGGGGGGGTTATGTGGAGTCCCTGATCTCGTGAAGGGGCTTGGTGCTTTGGCGAGGCCACTCCATCTCTCCTCGGCCCGAGGGTTTCGAGTGCTGCCCGAACGCCCCTCCAACATAATGCTGCACAACATCGAGACGGCTGCGACGCGGCAACACGCAACAGTTGCCTCCATGTTCTTGAACCTGATGGTGCTCTCGCTGCGGAGTGTGGTTGTGATAAGATGATGGCTCCTGGACTTGAGATATTGAGACCGAAGCCCCCGACCTTAACTCAGCCCTGTGCTTGATTTGTAGCATGAGGTACGAGCTGCCCGTAGCCTCAGTCTACCTGTCCCTCGAGATCGATTCGACTGCAGGAAATGCAGGTCAAAGAGGACAGCCCCGTTCAGAAGGTCTTCAACCAGCTCCTCGACGAAACCAATCTCATGACAGAAACTTTGGGTTTGTGCTCAGCACAGGAATGCATGAACGGCTGTCTGTCTCACAAGCACTGTTGTACAATGACTGGCTGTGCAAATCCCATTATGGAGACTGGCTGCTTGACAGCTTGAGCGTTCGTCGTAGCATAGGGGTTGGCCTGTCCGCAGCTAGTCGCTGGTCTGCCTTTAAGGCTAGGGGTCAAATTATGTCCCTCCCCGTCCTGGTCCTTGCTTCTCTCTTGCAGCCGTCCACTTTCTCTTTCGCTTCCCCTCCAAGTCCTCCTCCTCCTCCTCTCACCGTCTCCCTGCCTCTCTCTCTCTCTCTCTCTCTCTCTCTCTCTCTCTCTCTCTCTCTGTCTGTCTGTCTCTCTCTCTCTCTCTCTGTGTCTGCCTCGACAGTTGATATTCTTGCGAGGGTGACTCATTTGTTGTCAGTGTCCAAAGGGGCCGGTGCTCACAACCGGCGCGAGACTCTGCACTCACCGTTTGTTCCAAGGACGGAGATGATGATGGTGGTGGTGGTGACGACGATCTATCGTACGGATGCTGACAATGACGAAGGAGATAATGTGATGGTGACGGCACTGATGGACACAACGACGGCTTCAGGTTTCATTCGCGTGTGTTCGGTAAAGTGCTATGCACATCCGGCCATGGCTTGTGTGATGCTTTAAGCATCGCCTGAAATAGGGTGAATACAGCATGGATGTGATAAGGTTGCTTGCACGTGAAGGATAATTTGGCAGAGCTCAAACCTGCGGGCGATCTCCCAAGATCTGATGAGGCATAGCGCGTTTGAGGTGTGTGCATGAGTCACGTGACACGACGTTGACTGATTTCCTAGTGGCTTCTCTGCTGCCTTACAGTACGAGGTCCATCTTCAGCCACATCCACAGCGTCACGTTGGAGCGTCGGCAATCAGTTCGTGACAGCCCCGCGGAAGGTGAACCGACCAGCCCGGTGATTCGCAACAGTGTCTAAGCGCAGAGAGGTTTGCACGTGCAGGACTGAATCCGCCTAAGTAGGGTGGTGAGATTCATGTGCCTGCACGCTGGCCGAGAAGACGCTTTTTGGCACATCCAAACACTAAGACTAAGACTAGCAATAAGCTTCAAGCCGATACGCCCAAATGGTCTTGTCTTGTACAGAGATGCCACGTATGCCACAAGTCGCCTGACGTGGATGGGGTTGAGATCTTCGATGGTGTGCTTTGACTGCAAACCGTTTTAGTACGGGTGTCATTTCAGGGTTCAGAAACGTTTTGCTGCAGATCCCGGGTATGCTGGTAGGAGGCTTCGACACGAAGAAAATCTCAGATGACAGGGATGCGTGCCGAATCAGCTTACTTACATCTGTCGCACGCTTCGTTTCACCCAGTACATCGAAGCGCCGATGGTCTTTTAACCAACGACGAGCTAGACCCTGGAGAAGTACGCTTCTGAGTCTGTGACATTTCTAGCAGAACATCTCCCAGTGCTTTCGGCTTTCGTGTTTCGGATACTTCCTAGCTGCTCAGAATCTTGTGTGCAACCGATGGATGTGCACCCTCCCTTTTTCCAACCGCAGGCGCGAATACTCTTTGCGAGGTCACAGCCTACGGGTGCATAGGCAGAACAAGCACACATCCGGTGTTGAAGGACCATCTCGCAGTTTGCCGTGAATGAAACGATTTCTGATTTGGAGACAATTTCTGAAGTTGAGACTCGAGCACGAGTAAAGCCGTGTGAGGCGCATGTACGCGCGGAGATTGTGGTGTATGTGTAGCAGTATCAGCGATGTCATCTTCAGGCACTTCAGAAAGAGACGAGGTCGCTCGAAACTGAATCTCCGATTCCGCGTCAAGCGGCCACCATTTGCCTAGAGTCGCGCTGCAGGAATCGACGTGAGTCAGTGCTGACTCTTCAGCGCCCACTGCCAGTCTTCTCTCTGAAGGATGAGAAGACCGATAGCGATGCTGCCGCCGACACCACGTATTCTAGCTGGCATGTGCTATGTCCGAGCCTGACAGTAAGCAGCAGTAAGTCTGACCTGGTCGAGTGCAAGTGCTAAAAGACAGCAGCAGGAGCAGTAGTTGTAGTTGAGACAGCACGCTTTATTCACCTGAATTCTCGTGTTGACCATCGTGATGCGTACAAACTCGGCATCGCCCCGACTCCGCGGCCAGGCCGCACCAGGAGGTGAGTTGAACCACGATTTCAGCAAAAGGGCCAGGAGGTTGGAAATTGAGACCTCAGCTCTTGCAGCGAAGGCTCAACGTGAAGGTGTTTAGGACACTGGGCGATGGACGAGTCACTGGGGACCGGAGAGCGAGCCGGAGGCTTCAATAGGCCCGAGCGAGAAGGAGAAAGAGAGAGAGAGTGAGAGAGAGAGAGAGAGAGAGAGAGAGAGAGAGAGATTCCCGGCCCCGAGCCGTGGCAGCCTTTGCTTTGCTTAGGCCTTACGTCGAGGCATGTTTAGCACTTGACTAGCTTTTGCTTTGGTACGACTCTATTGTGCATTGTAGACTTCACGAGTCACTGTTCTATGCTTCGCCGTTCTGATTCAGATTGAGGGATTTACGGATCACTCAGGGTGCAGGCTCCTGTTTCAGTGGAGGCTTGGTAGGGTCATCACAGATTCTAAGAGGATATCGATTAAAGTTGCTCACGTTCTCACCTCCTCAGCCCGAAAAGCTGGCCACTCTTTCAGCTGGTCTGACCAATTCGGTCCAAAGAGCTGCAGCAAAACGGGGCGGCATGTTGGCATCATGCTTGTGTTGCGAAGGGTCTAGGTGGGGTTGTGTCGGGTTCTCCTGCAAGGATCCGTTGCTCTACTGTTGCTTCGGGTGCGGTCGAAGGCACTGTTGCAGAGCATGCAGAGGCCATCGCAACACTGTGCAGTGGCCAGGAGAGCTCTGGATGTCGACTGGATGCAGGTCGAGGAGCAGGGCGGGATTTTCCGCCGCTTCGCCCGTGCTGCTACTTGGCAAGGGGTCCAGCAGCTCATGAAGCCTCCAAGTCCTCCTAGTCCTAGATGCTACGGCGCCCAACCAGGCAGGCGTAGCCGTCAAAGCAGTCAGGCCGAAGTGCCTGCTTATCCGCGAAGTTGAAGTTGCCTCTGTGTACTGTACCCGAGGTGGTCAACTTCGGCAAAGGGATCCGGAACGCTCTGCGATCCGCTTATCAGTCCTTCCTTTCGAAGCTGCGGAAGACGGATGAGGACTCCTCGCCCTCCTTGCTGTTGAGAGAAAGGCAGCAGAAACACGTCGAGGAATCAAGGTTCGCTAGGGGCGGGGTTGGACCTCAGCAAGCCCGTGCATGTGAAGGCGCGCAGGGGGATGGTGATCCGACGACTTGCTGGCTGCACGGTCTTGTGACTGGGTTTTGACTGCATGGTCAACTGGTCCGCTCGCCGGCCTTGGTTTCTGGGATGATCTGGGATGCCTCAAGTGGTTCATGAGGTCATGGGCCTGCATCTCTGGAAGCAGAAGCGATGAAGAGGGCTTCTACTGCCACTGGTTTCTTTGCTTTCGCTGTTTGACTCTTCTTGGCCCGAGGTTTCCGAGTCTCCAGCACAAGCCCGAGCTGTTGAGAATCAAGAATCAAACGACCCGAGATCACATCCCAGTTCTTTGGATGCAGGAGTGCATTGAGAAGCAGCAGGAGTCCGAGTCCAGGCGCCGGCTCGTTGTTCTGCTGATTTATTTGTGTGTGTGTGTGTGTGTGTGTGTGTGTGTGTGTGTGTCTTTCCTTTTTGTTTTGGTCCGATACGGTCTGGGGCAAGCGTGCTGTAACGTTTCTGCACTCTTGCACTTCCCTATTCTTCAAGCACAGGCCCCTATGGTTAATGTGTGTGTCACGGTGAATTGTCCGTGACGTGCTGCTGCCAGGATCCTCGCCCTGGCAAGTCCGAGTGTGAGTGCTGAAACTCCTAAAAACACACCTTGACAACTGCTTCTTCCTATCCTGAAGATCCGAAATTCCCATAAGCCCATGACACGACCAAGAGGGCTGCTGCCGGTCTACCGAACTCCAGTCACATTACCAGCGACTTGTCGAGCAATTTAGGGTTTTACGCTTTTCAGCTTTTAGGGTCGTCTAGGGCTCAAGACCTAGACTTCGAACTTCAGGATTCAGCTGTGGGTTCAGGTCTTTGGACTTGAGGGTGTTGGAGTTTGAAATGCATAGCTTTGGGTCTTCGGGGTTCCGGGTGCAATACTTCAGGACGTGCTACGGCCTTGGCGGTTTAGGATTCCTTTTGGTTCCGCTTGGCCTTCAATGCCCCACCTAAGTTTGTGAATAGTCAGGCATCTCCGAATAGGGCCAAACCATAAAGCGGATGGACAGAGTTTGCACTATGCCCCAGAAGCTTAAATCGCATAGATGCAGTACCGGTGCATGTGAAGCTCGTGTAAGCAGGGGAAGAGCGAAGTCAGAGACAAGGATTTTTCTGTCGACAGTTTTGGCGCGATTGCCGGGTGGCTCCCCGATGCAAGCGTAAGGCCGTTTCGCGAGGAAGCTCGAAGTTCGCTCTTTTTGGCCTGTAGGCAGGAAGACGCCGGTGCAGAGAATCATAGGGAAATCTGCAGCTGGTACACTGCAAAGATAACTCAGAAGGCAAGGCCGGCTTGTTTGCTTCCCATGTGGCCCTGGGGAACGAAACGGCGAACAAGGCCAGCATGCCATGCAGCGAGGCAGCCCATAACTGTGCCACAAGCGTGAGAGGTCACACCGGTTCGATCCACGGGAATGCATTGGATGGGGTTAAGGGGCTTAATCGGCGGCGCTTGGTGATGTTTCAGTGCATACATAAGATATTGGTTTGCATATGTTTACACATAGTCATACGATATAGAACAGGCAGGGTAGACCTTTGAGATTGGTTCACACTTGGTCAAGCATAGCCTGGCTTTCCCCAGGGTAGCGAGAGGAGTCAAATAGAATGGCCCGGCAAGATGGATGTACAGACGGAGATACATACTTTGGGGCCAGCTGCTGAACGAATTCCGAGGCATTTGTTTCATGTATCAGAAGAGCAAAAAGAGTTCTAATATTCATCTGGCTTTGCACAAACAGCTAGACAAGTACCGTGCAAGGACAGCATGTCCCAAATTTCAATCCAGTCTGCCTGAGGTGAGGCAGAAGCCAGTCGGGGCATGAAGAAATCGGACGAGGTTCTTGCCTCCTTCGAGAAGAACGGGTGCCTTCACCTCAGAGAGTTTTGGGGGGGCGGGGCGTTCTGGACGCCGGGGCTTTGAGAAGCAAAATTGGGTTTGCAGGGGCCCCGTGTATTTATGTACTGTTCTTATTTAAAGTATACTATGAAATACTATTATTGCTAGTATTATTTATTAGTATTATTTATTAGTATTATTATTATTACTATTATTATTATTATTATTACTATTATTACTATTATTATTATTATTACTATTACTATTATTATTATTATTACTACTATTATTATTATTATTATTATATTATTATTATTACTATTACTATTATTATTATTATTATTATTATTATTACTATTATTATTATTACTATTACTACTATTATTATTATTACTACTATTATTATTACTATTATTAGTATTATTAATTATTATTGTTATTATTACTGTTATTACTATGTTTTACACAATGTAATTATTATATTCTGTTACTGCTGCTATTACAACTATTACTACTTTTCTTGTTGCAAACTTCTGCCTATTGTTTGAAAATGTGATTTCGATTACTACATTCCTCCTTCTGTTATATTATTTCTGATACTACTCACACAAATTCGTGAATCATGCAGATCAACTTACTAAGTTGATGTGCATTAGGAGCCAACCACACACACACATACAGTCACTGACACAAAGCATGATGACACTGACACTTTGCCAAAGGACCTCAGGACTATGGATGCACGAAATGTAAGACTGACAATTGCTTTGGACTTAATTTGCACAGGGTATGTTTTGATTTCATTGTTATTATTATGTTTCATTGATTTTGAAACCTCTATGCCACTTTGTGATTTCAATTGCTGAAACAATTTGAGATGTTCCTTCAGTCATTGACATTGACATCAGAAGTAAAAACGTGACAATTTGCTGCTGTTTCGCTTGATGCTGCCCTTGTCTCACTCACTCTCCTGGTCCTGTGTCAGTCTACATCTGCCCAGCCTGAAGGCCTGAACTTAGGGCTTTAGTAGGGTGAAAGGTTTAGGATGTTAAGCTTGAGGGATAAAGGGTTTTAGGGTTGCGGGTTCAGGTCGGGATGTTGACATAAGGTCTAGGGATAGTAGGTTCAGGGCTTGAGGGATGACGGTTGCGGTCGGTGCAGGGGGATTTTGTGATGTACAAGTAAGTAATGTTCAGTTTGGGGACCATAAATAATTATGTTGAACATTCCTAAACGTGGGGGGTTTTAAGTTAGGGTCTTGGGCCAAGGGTTTTCGAGGATTAGTGTTTGAATTGCTAGGGTCTGGGTCGGTCACAGTCTCTGATATAAATAAGCCCCCCCATTGGCAGACATCTTTGTGATTGTGGTATTAGTAGTATTGCAAGACCTGCCCTGACCTGTAGTTCCTCTAGAGCACAGAAGTGGATAACTTTTGGTGTTGAGGATTCAGGGCATTGGTGTTGGGAAGTCCTTAATCAAATTTAGTAAAACAGTGATTCATCAGCAGTGCATCATTATTTCTCTCATCCCGTGAGACAAATGCCACACCCATGTGTTTCAGTCAGTGATTAACTATAACCACATACTAGTTATGCAGTACAGTACAACAGAAGTCCATCTAAGAAAATACTAAAATCTTCTTACCTTGCCTAGTGGCCAATACGTTAATCTATTCATCCAGTTCCATCTCTAATCCGATCTAAAGTGTACTTGTTGTCCAGACTTAGCCCCTGTGATCCTTGAATAATAATCATAATCAAGCCTCACCTGAATCCGCCAAGCGCTTCAGCCGGCAGCGGTGGCAGTGGTGCGGCGCGACTGTCCGGAGCCCTTAACTTAAGTAACTAACTAACTATAATAATGTAATTATGATTAACGTAATACTACCCCCCAACCCTGAACCGCAGCGAACCTGAACTTAATCTTTTATGCCGAGACTGGATTGACAATCAATAATAGTAATGCAATACTGCTACTACGGTAAATTATAATAGTAGACACAAGACCATCTGAGAAATCCGTAAGTAAGTATCAGTAGAGAAGTGTCAGTTTGGCTTAATTAAGTTAAGACTAGACCAGACCCTACAGCCTGATCCGAGCCGACCCGAGCCCCACTGCTTGACATTTACTCAGACCTAAGTTTAAGTGGGTTATTAATATAATAATAGCATGAATATATTAATATTTGAAAATGACTAACCCGAGAGAGACTGAGTTACTTAGTACAGTGAACTTAAACTGAAATAACTTGTAGGCTTTATTATTTATACTCTTAGTAACCCTGACCACCTTAAACCCAGGCGCAGCATGAGGGGGTTCAGATTTCAGACATTCAGGTTCAGGTTCTGACTTCGGAGTTTGATCTGGCCACTCGTACCGGGTGTGTAAACCCCGGTGGGTGTGCCAGGTGGCATACCGGGCGAGAAATCCCCGGTGCCACAGTGGCGGTACGGGCGAGAAATCCCCGGTGCCACAGACGACGACGCACGGTGGCATACCGGGTGAGAAATCCCCGGTGCCACAGTGGCATACTGGGTGAGAAATCCCCGGTGCCACAGTGGCATACTGGGTGAGAAATCCCCGGTGCCACAGTGGCATACCGGGTGAGAAATCCCTGGTGCCACAGTGGCGGTACGGGTGAGAAATCCCCGGTGCCACAGACGACGACAAGCTCGGTGGCGGTACGGGCGAGAAATCCCCGGTGCGACCGAAGACAGCACCTCGAGCTCGGTGAGTGGTGTGTACCGGGCGAGAAATCCCCGGTGCCACAGCGCTCACCTGATGGGGTTGCTGGGTGGCTCAGCTCAGTCAATCGAGTACCGGGCGAGAAATCCCCGGTGCCACTGACTGACTGACCACGAAGTTCAGCGACGACGACAAGTGCCTCGGTGGTTCAGTGGCATACCGGGCGAGAAATCCCTGGTGCCACAGTGGCATACCGGGTGAGAAATCCCCGGTGCAGTGCCACAGCCACTGACGACACGTCGCTCGGTGGTTCAGTGGCATACCGGGTGAGAAATCCCCGGTGCCATCGTGGTTCAGTGTCGTACCGGGCGAGAAATCCCCGGTGCCACGGTGCCACAGCCACTGACTGACAGACGACACGTCAGTCAGTGTAGTAGGGCGAGAAATCCCCGGTGCTACGGCCACTGACGACACACCGTGGTTCAGTGGCGTTCAGTGGCGTACCAGGCGAGAAATCCCCGGTGCCACGGCCACTGACTGACAGACGACATATCGTGGTTCAGTGCAGTAGTACCGGGCGAGAAATCCCCGGTGCCACACACGGCCACTGACGACACGTCGTGGTTCAGTGGCGTACCAGGTGAGAAATCCCTGGTGCCACAGCCACTCACCTGACGACACGTCGTGGTTCAGTGGCGTACCAGGTGAGAAATCCCTGGTGCCACAGCCACTCACGTGTCACAGACTCAGTCTGACGTCGACAATGATGACGACTAGATAATTTATGCACTGAAGGGTTGAAATTGAAGTGACTTCAGTGGTTCAGTGGCGTACAGTACAGGGTCCGAGAATTCCCCCGGTGCCACAACCACTGAGTCACACTATATGTTCTATCATAAACATCCGGAGTTTAAGTTTGCACACCTGCCACTGGCAGTGCCAGGTGTGCAAAAAACGGGCCCGTTGGCAAGAACGGACTCGGGTGATGATGACAATAATGTATAAATTAATTAATTAAATTTAAAAAATTAGGTTTCAGTAGTAAAGATGACTGATGGGTTGACAGAGTCATTCAAACATTGACACAATCTGTAACCCATCTAATCTAATAATCGATTTCAATCATCAATCAATCGTCATTAATCAACAAATCAATCAACATAATCAATCAATTAATCAGTCAGTCAGTCATGTTTTTTGACCATAATTAATTGAGGTTTATTGATCTGATTGTTCAACACTCAACTTATTCATCGTTCAGCTCAGATTATCACACGTCGTCAATGGCATTGTCATTGTTGTTGCTGGTGTTGTCGTACTATTTATTTATTAATTAATTAAGACTAAAGTATTTTCAAATTTTCTGCTATTAATTAATAAGTTAAGTTAATTATTAACTTAATATTATCAATTAAATAACAGTCGCTGTCGTAGTTGTTGCCGTCGTTGCGACTCATTTGACATGAAACAGAAATGGAGTAGTTGTCGTAGTATTACTTGCTGTTGTTTGTTGTTGTTGCTCCTGCTGTTGTTGTTGCTGCAGTTTGTCAGTCACGGTCATTTGAGTCATGTTGGTGTCGGTGTGTCCTTGTTGTTGCGCCCGATGCTGTTGCAGTTGCTGAAGTTGTCGATTGCTCATTATTGATGGTGTTTAGCAGTAGTTGTTGTGGCTGTTCATGTTGCATTGCTGTCCTGGGTCAGCTGGGTTGTGGTTGTCGCCGCTCAGTTGTTGTTTTCGGTGGTGGTGTTGTCGTTGTGGTGAGCTGGTGCTGGTGTTGTTGCTTGTTACTTGTTGTTGTTGGTAGCTTGTTGACTGTTGTTGTTGTTGCTACAACTTGCTGTCTTTATTTTTTTAATTTTAATCAAACGTGCTGTTGTAATTACTTGCTGTTGAAGTTACGTACTTGTTGTTATTGTTCTTCCTCATTTCTTGTTGTTAGTGGTGATGTTGTTGTTTGCGGTGGTTGTTTGTCGTTGTCGTCATCATTGTTGTTGTAGTCGTGGTTGTTGTGGATTCATTGTTGTTGTTGTCGTCGTCGTGTGATTTGGCAACATCACTCAGTGATGCTGTTGCTGATGTCTGATGTTGAGACAATGTAGTAGTATATGTGTGACTTAGTTAGTCTTGGATTGTTATGGCCTGGGTTGTTGCTGTTGTGTGTTGCAGTCGTTGTTGTTGATTCCTGCTGTGGCTGTGGGGTTGTTGTTGTTGTTGCAGTTGTTGCAGTTGTTGTGCTGTTGTTTTGCACTCTTCCTCCAGAGATGTTTGTCGTCGGGCATGGGTAAGCCCGCAGCGACTTGAAACTAAATGCTGCTAATTCGAATCGAAACAAACACCGCT